CGGGATATAATGGTATTGAAAACATTGATATGAGTAGTAACAGAACCACCTTCCCGCATACGAGTGTTAACTAACTGTCTAATCAAGAATACCTTATTAGACGCGGAAGGTTTCTCATACATGTTTGACAACGTTGTCATAACCCCACGAGCAGTGGTCTCTTTCACGATGTTGAAAGCCACACTCTTTGTCAAAGTGCACCTGATGACGGCTAGGGCTTTTCTATCCAAATCAGCCCATTCTTCATCCTTCATCTTCTCGGGTTTCTGACCTGTCAAACATGGAAGAAGATCTTTCTGACATAGCAAGTCCTCGACTTGCATCTTCCACCATCCAAAATCTTGCCCATCAAACTTCTCTATCCTGATCTTTCCGTCCTCAGACATCATCTCTTCTGAGTATCCCAGTTCTGACCAGAGAACACGTGAGAACAGATTGAAACAAACAACCAGAACTGACCTCGAAAATTGCAGCAGCAAACTGAACAGCAAGGTTGTTCGGACTGCCCACAGATGACTATCTCGGTGGTCTTCTGATGTGTCGGCAGAAACCCTAGAGTCGCTAGGGTTGGCAGTGGAGGCAGATCTGTGTGTATGACCTAGGCTTTGATACCAGTTGTGAAGAACAAAAGCACACACACGAATAGAAAGCAAGAAAGCAATAGAGAACACGAGATTTAACGTGGTTCGGTCTAATCTGACCTACATCCACAGGGGCAACTAGGGTTTGTATTATTGAGTGATAATGATTACAAGTACAGGAGATCAAATATATAGACAACTAATTAGGGTTTAACCCTTGCTGGACAAGTTATAGCAAACTGGGCTTAAAACCATTTGGGCCGGCCGAAACCCTAATCTGGTCTCCTAACTCTCAGTTGTCTACAAGTGGGCCACTTTGGGCCGATGACTACACATCACCAACAGGCACTACAATGGGTTCGTGTTAAATATCTCTGCCACGAGTTGGAAAGATAAATATAAATGGCCCAACTTAAGGGAGCATTAATTATTGTAACCCTAGATTATCCTAGTCCTAACCGGCATAGCCTATTACTCCCTCCGTCCCATATCTTTCTTCTCACTTTCCTTTTTGGGCCGTCCCACTTCTTTCTTCTCGTTTCCTAAAACGGAAATAAAATTAAAGCTAAAGGACTATTTTTCCCTTCCAAGACAACACCCAATTACTCCTTTTTAATCCTCTCAACGTCACCCCCTTCTTCATTTTCTTCGACAAAGCAGCGAGAGCCGGCAAAAGAAGGGAGTCACGGACGAAGGTCTTAACACAACGTCGGGGCTCTGGTTTCCGATGGCATGCAACGTAGAGCAGAGGCGACAAAGGAGCGATGAACCACGAAGACTTGTGGCTATCGCCGGCGGCAACCTGATGGCGACTCAGAGGTGACCTCACGGCAATCCATGGCAGAACCAACCTAGATCTGAAAAAATGGCAATCCAAACTGATGGCGACTTAGTGTTCACCAGATCTACTGCTAGAGCCTCAAGTTCATCTTCTCTCTCGCACATCAGCGTCGCCTTCTACCGGGAGGGTTGCTGCCAATGTTTTAAACTTCGGTTCTCTCTCACCTACAAGAATGCGTCCGATAAACCAAATCCAATTGATTGTTCGCTGCTCTTCAATTTTCTAGATTTGAAAAGTAGATTTGAATTTTATTTCTTCAATTATTTTAGATCTGAAATTTAGATTTTGATGATTTTTTTAATGAGCTGATGTTAAAGAAGAAGAAGAAGGGAGTTAAGAATAAAGGGGGTATGGCCTGTGAAAAAGAAGAAAAATTAGAAGGGGAAGAGAAAAGTGAAGAAGAAGAAGAAGGGGGAAGGTGGGGCGGGGTCAGATGGAAAAAGAAGAAGGAAACCAAAAGATAAGGTGGGGAGAAGGAAAAAAAGGTGAAGGGTAAAACTGGAAAGTCAAACACTTTTTTCATTCCACATTAAAAACCGTGCCAAGTCAAAACGAGAAGTTTCAACTTGGACGGAGGGAGTACTAATTAGCTTTAACACCTCACTAACCCTAGATTACACTCCCTCCGTCCCACAAAGATTTGCATACTCTCTGGGGCTCAAACTTCAATCACATTCCTTCTTAAATTTCATTAATTATTTAATAAAATAATATATTGTTGTCACCTCTTATTTTGTACACCTTTTGATGTAATCTTTAAATATATATATATAAATCTTATTTTTTTATTTTAACCCATTTTCCATATAAATTGAATTGAAAATAAATTCAGTCAAGCATCGTTATTTGTGTGGGCAATTCTTTTTGGGACGGAGGGAGTACTTACCAAGAAATAAGTAGGACTGCAGGAGTAGTAATGTACTCAAATGTGTGAATCATATTCCATAAATAATAATATCCTCTTTAGTTCAAGCATACGCAGTGCAACAATGGTACATATATTTTAAGAATGGGATATAGAACAATGTTTAATAATGTATTTGACTAAGAGTAACAAACCACTTCTGTATTAAAAGTATCAAGAAAATGCTTTTGAAGTTTAATGCCCTCCATCTCAAAATAAAATTCACACTTTCTTTTTGGCAAAGAATTTAAAACAAAAGTCTTAAATATCATTAACAATCTTGTCCTAACCCACCCACCTTTATATCCACCCTGCTTTTCTTACCCACTAATCTTTATTTACCCATCAACCTTTGTTTACCCACCCCTCTTAAATATAGCTGCAAATGGGAAATTCAAAACAAACACTACCCTATCTTATACATCCTGAAATTGAATTGTAAATTTTATTTTAGGACGAAATGAATAACTAGATCAGACTATGAATGGATTTAATAAGATTATAAAGAAACTAAATAAAAAAATTCTCAAATAAACAGCATGATTTAACTCCAAAAATGCCAAGTATGGTCTTAAAAGGCGATTGAGGCAGACCGCCTAGAGGTGCAAAGGCGGTCGCTTTAAGGCTTAGAGGCTTAAGCCTCAGCAGTGATATTTGAGGCTTACATCCCAAGGTAATGAGGCGTAGGCGAGGCATTAGCTACAGTTTAAAGAGATATTCATCAATGGTATTGGTTATTTTTAAAAAGCTATTGGGCCTTTTGTACAAAAAATCTATTGGGCATGTGGCATGAAGGTGTAAATTGTACAATATTTAGTTTGACTTTCTAAACTTAGTGGATAATTTCTCCAGCTCCAAGACTTTAGCGCACACTTCTATCTCTCCATTTTTAGAGCAGCTTCTTCTCTCCTGCGGCTAAAGAGTACCGAGCAGGAAACGGCTAAGGTAATTCTTTCGTAATATAATGGCTTCATATTCTAATTACTTCATATTCTAATTGCTTCACCTTCTAATTGCTTCATCTTTTTTCAACTTTTAATTCTTTTTTTCCCAGCATTTCTCTTCCTCTTCATCTTTAATCAATGTCTCTGAATTTTGATTAACTTAAAGCTTTTAATGTCTGAGTATCTTTTGTTAATTATAGATATATCAAAATAGATAATTTCATACTTTCTAATATGGTTGTCATTAAGGATTACTTCAAGACTTATCTTATATTTGTGGTTGAAATTTAAATGTACTAGTGTAAGTTTGGTTATGAAATTAACATGTACATACTTGTGGAATCTGTTTCTAAATGCTTTCAGTTTGGTTTTCAGGTGCAGTTCAGAGGAATGGAATGGACGATGATGTGATGAGTTTTGAGTCGCTGGAAACCTGAAATTTTAGTCTTAAAACAATTTTCATGAATTATGATTATCTAATTATCTTATTTCCATACCCCCCCCCCCCTGTTTTAAATGAAAAGCATGCATGATTTTATGACTTATTCGACATGATTATGGATTATGCATTTTGTTGTGCCTCGGTGTATTTATTATTAGTTCTTTCAAATTGAATTGAGGTTCATGCTTCATGGCATTTTACCTCAATGCTTCAAGGCTAGATTTTGCCTTTTAAAGCCTTGGGCCAAGACTAATTTTACATCAAGCATGTTGAAGTTCCAACTACTAACCAGTTAGTACAATAAAACAGCAAACCAATTTAATTTCAACCCCGTTGAGGTCTGGTGGATCAACATGTAAGCATGGAAAGGTTGTTTCTGTAAGACCCTAAATGCATTGCTCCATTTACTGACAAAAAACAAATAGAAAGTAAGAAGCAAGGGGGGTTTAATGTATCATTGTGATTTAATCCCTTATGTGCCTGAAACTAGAACATTGTTAATGATGACTCTTTACGCTCCATTGGCAATGGACAGGAAAACAAAAGATAAAATCTGATACATCATGTTGCTCGCCATGCTCAGCACAACATATGAATGCCAACAATATTTAAAAGATTAAAGAAATGCTTCAATTTTCTAAAAAAGAAAATAAATAACCTCAGATCATTCTGGATAAGGAAATAAGTGTATAAGTGCTTACCTCAATTGCCATTAAAGGTTGCATTTCAACTTGTGTGCAAGCTAAGAAGGTGATCCCCTCACGTACAACTTGGAAAAGGTAATGCGTGGGTGAAGCAATCACAGGTAAAAGCTAAGCACTCAAAATAAAACCAAGGGAGACATTTAATGAAAAAAATTACAAAATGAAAATTTGAAACATTTTCCTTGATGAACTGAAAGTAGTGCGGAAGAAAAAAGTTAAACAGATAAAACGAATCTAAAAAAAGTTACCTTGAAAGAATCGCCTTGAGAAATTGCCTGTTCCCAGAACCAAGCACATATTGACCTCTCCACCCTGTGACCAGTAAGCTGTTTCTCAAGCATTACCTCACTACAATAAAAATCCATTATCTTGATCAAAACAAACAGTTTCATATCTGCAGAATACCTTTTATTCAATTGTCCCATATATTGAAGTGATTCTATTAATAAAAGAAATCGTTCAACCAACTTCTAAGCCAGGTCGTGTAAACCAGTAAACCCTAAATCAATTGTATGCATTGCAGGTTCAGTAAAAGTAAATAGTCCCTTCGTCCCCATTTAATTAAGACAGTTTGACTTCAAGTAATTTGAAAAAAGTGTTGAAAAGTAAAAGGTGAATGCTTAAAATTTGTTTACAAGGAGAAGAAATGTGGACCAGATATCCGTTACTTTATTAGGAAAGCAAAGAAGTGGGTAAATTTCTTTGGGACAACCAAAAAAGGAAAGTGTGAATTAATTGGAGGCCGAGAGAGTACTTAGTGAATGAGAAAGAAATAAGGAAATAATAGCATACCCAGAATCAGAGAGAATAAAAATGCACTGCAACATACTTTCTGATTCTTCTCGACCTCTATCTGCTGAGCATTATCCAGGAAAACTATGGTACTGGCACACACCATACATTTCAATCTATCCCCTAGAATTGGCTTTGCATAGAAAGGAAGCAGTTAGAGTGGTTGTGCTCAATCTACTTATCTTTTGTAAAGAGACTAGCTAATAATATTCTGGATTTTTTTTGGCATTTAAACCGTTAGCTAATTATCTTTTTTGGTATATTAGAAATCTGGTCAAATATTTTAGGCAGCGATATGTTGACATAAAATATGGTATTGGATTCCGATGTGAGCATGTATTATTCATTTCAGGCTTCATGAAATAGATACATATTCCTCATAAATAAACTTAATATGGCTTTTCTAACCTGTCACAAGTTATTTAATATTTATTAAATATCAAAAATGGAACTTTTTTTGAAAAAGGTTTATTCTTCATCACCATAAACTCCAATGGATATCAAAACATAAGGACAACACAACCAAATAATCATGAATACTTGGCAATTTCAAAACCATACAAACCAAGTCCATTGCCAATGGGGTTAAAATAATCCTTTTGGACAATGTTTTAGATTCGGATAAATAATGAACGAAACCAAAATGACACATTAAACTAACCTCGATGCTTACTTCATCCTCTGGGAAATTCCCGAATTAATCGTCCCAGTTTGACTTCACGGGGTTTAAGAAAAGTGTTGGAAAGTAAATTTTGAGTGGTTGAAATTTGATTAGAGGAAAGAGAAAGATATTGGACCACATATTCTTCTTTATTAGAAAAGTAAAGAAGTGAGAAAATTTGTTTGGGACGGACTAAAAGGAAAATGAGATGATTAATTTGGTACGGAGGGAGTATAATGTCTTACGCAGAAAATGCAGCAATGTGTCAAGGGTGTAATGGAAACAACCATTGTACGGATTGTTTCTATCATTGACCTAAGGTCCACCGTGGACTACCTCAAATAATAAAATAACAAAAATAATACATATACTTTTGATAATTTATTGCATATGTGAAATGATCCATTATTTTATATAAAACTAGGTTCATATACGAATATATCCTCTATAAAGGTAAGGTTGTGTGCATCTTAATTCCCTAGATCCAAGGAGTTGGGATTATACTGGGTTTGTTGTTGTACAAACCAAGATATTCAATAATCAATATAAGTACAAGATTAAAAACATAAGTGCTAAGTGGCTAAGTTCCAAGTCCAAACTCTGAACCAAATAATACAAGGCAATTAACAAACCAACTTGAAACAAAATGACGCCCAATTCAGCCACAATGACACCTAATTCAAGCTTTCAGCGGGTTACATGTCTAACAATTTTTCAATTTAATCTCATCAATCATGGGATATGATTACAGGGTGAAAAGTCAGTTAAATTTAAATCTACAAAATTTTGGAGTCTCATTTTTCAAATCTTACATACAAAAACTTAAATAAAGTCATGAAACCGTACCAAATGGAATGAGAGAGTCTGCTGGGATTTGGGGTCTAACCTGCTAAAAAATGATAATTTGAGGGCGGATGGGGGGCACACAATATATATACTGACCAATTATACTGAACAACTGTTTCTCAATAATCTACAGTAATATATTTTTGGGGCAATAACAATCAACTTAATAAACAATTTCATTTCATACAAAATAGAAAAAATTAAACCGAAACATACAAAAAATCACACATAAACCTAAATACCAAATACCTGATTTCTTTAATTCTATAGATAAAAATGCAAAACATTATAAAATCAAAACATACAAAAAAATCATGCGTAAACCAAAATACCTGGACTCCTCGCTCCTGGGCCGATTAGCGATGGCTGAAGCCTAAAAAGGCTGTGCTTTTTCTGCTCACTGAACTCTGAAACCGCCTCGCCGCACAAAGTGTGGGATTAATAGCCTGCTGAACTCTGAGAAACGGAGCAAGGGAGGATTAACGATTGTCGATTGAGCCTGTTCTTAGAAAAAAAATGAAGAAAAAATAGAAGAAATTTGAAAATATTAGAAAACAAATGAAGTAGGGCTTACTTGTGAAATGCTAGTACGTAGTACGGAGTATGAAGTTAGGTGTAAATAAATCAAAATCTTAAAATTTATTTTGTGATTTGGAATATAATAATTCTAATTCGCATTATTCAAATATAAATTTAGCCTTTTTTTAATTGAAGGTATTCCACTTTTAAGTCTTGTAGTAAAAAAGTACATCATCTTCAACTAATACGGAGTAATAAAAAAGTATCTCATTTTTTAAAAATTTAACAAAAAGATATCCCTTGGTCGAAACTGAGAAAATTCGGCCGTGCACATGTGGATTTCGACTTGACTTCCTAGCTTACATGTGACAATCCACATGACTTTTAAAATAACTTGTAAATTTTCCTATACTCCCTCCGTCCCCCTATATTTGTCCACATTTGACTTTTGGAACTGTTCATCTAAGCACTTTGACTCATCAAATTCTCTCAATGTGTAAGCCTAAATATAGTCATGTGTGATCTTGTTTGATTTTTCTTAACATATAGATTATTAATATATAATTTTTATAATTTTTTAATATACAAATTACAAGATAAAATGGATTAAAGAAGTGCATTGGATGATGTGTAAAAATGAAAGTGGACAAATACAGAGGGACGGAGGGAGTATGTGATAACTTTGTACTTGACACATATGGAGTATAAAATCAAGTTTTATTTTTTAGAAAAATTATATTATATTTACACTATCATTTTTTTCATATCTACGAAATATTTTAAGCCCAACTAGGGACAACTTTTTAAATGATTGTCTTTATTTTAATTTAAAGAGCAGAGTTTCTTATTTATTTAAATTTTAAAATATTTATAATCTTTTGGAATTATAATTTAAATAGATAAATAAACACGAAAATCCATGAACACCTCTTCCAAAAAATACTTAGATTACTAATAAAAACTCATTACACGTATCAATAATATTCGATAATAATGATGATGATAGTCGTAGTAGTAGTAACAAATATTAGTAAGTTTCAACTAATAATATATGGAATATAAAGAAAATAACACATGTGTTACACACATGAATAAACCACAATAAAAAATGAAACACAAAAAATGCAATAAGTTTTAAAACATTAAAAATATGTGCATCAAAAATACATGGAATATAAGAATTTAGAGTTTTTAAAAACTCACATTGAAAGTCGGGTACATGTCGAGTTGGTTTGGGTACAGATCGAATTGCACGAGAACATTATTTCTTAATTTACGACTATTATGAGAAATAATAACAATTAATTTTGTTACAATGATGTATTTCAAATGTTTAGTTGTAAACTGCAACAACGTCGCAACTAAGAAGACATGCAATATTTAAAAATTATACTCACTAATAAATTTACACATAAGGCGTTACACAATTTTTGCTATGCTCGAGAACTCGAGAAGAATACTTTTCGACGATGTTCTCTATAATCAAACAGTCTGAGAAAATATATCACAATACTAATAATTTTAGAGCAAATAGTGACATGATATTGAGAAGTCATGTCGTGAGTGCAAAGTACAGTTAATAGGCCATTATTCTGATAACCTTATATTTAAAATTCAAATTTAACTAACTTGCATCACGATAAATGTCAAATACAATGTCGTTGACAATCCTAATTGCTTCAAAGGATGTTAGACCTCGTACCACATTGAAAAAAGTGCGTAGATAGTATGCCTCTCCCGCACCAAGATGTGATTCGATCACTCGGCCAATGGCATATCTTATTTTTCGTTTTGGGTATTCCGCTTTCTCTCTTGCCAAACAAACTTTGAATGTATCATTGTTTCTATTCGTGAAAAAGGGTAACCGCTTCGTTAGTCGTAGATGGGCTTTTCCACTACGTTGCTTATGGAGAGCCCGAAGTCCTTGTAATCTTTAAGTGGAGTGTCCATTATCTACATTTAAAGAAAAATTATTAGTTGATGACTTTGCTCTAGCAAATACATTGGTCAAACAACTATTACAAAAACCAACCTTTTTCCCTATAAACATAGAATTTTTTGATTATTTTTTAATTGGTTATTTTTTTTGAAAAAAGGCTATTTTAGTAACGTATAAATGACAATTCCAACTCTAATAAAATCATGTTGTTATTGAGGTGTGGTAGGCGTATATTAAGTTTGTACCTCAACTTGTACACAAATATATTACAAATATGCATATACAATACTTTTCTATTCATAGCTAAGATAATTGTTGTATATGCTAATCTATGATACACTTGGCTTTGTTCGTTTGGGTTGTAAAAACATGATTGTATGTTGGAAGAAACTATAAGAAATTGGAATAAACAAGAAGCAGTTAGAATACACTAGAAAGAGTTAAAAAAACTGGAATAAATTAGAAAATGTTAGAAAAATAAAGTGTTAAAAATTTATTCAATTAAATAATGATCCAAATAAACATGTAAAAAAATAATTTTGGATTAAAAAAGAATTCATATTTATTCGCGTGTAAGATGATATGTTATAAATTTGGATATATAGTATTATTGTATATTTACAATATATAAATATTTTTAGTCATGTTAATAGAAACTGAAAGGTAAAACGTGAAAAAATGAAAAGGGTAAAAATAGATTGGAAAATAATTTTTTAAACCCATAGAAACAGACTTTTGGATTTTGGGGTACAATTTAAATTTAGGGGTGTAAACGGATTTTAATCAGATCGGATGTGCCATTACCAAATCCGCATCCGTTTATTTTTGTCGGATATCGAATTCGGATACGGATCTAGACGGATATTGAAAAATCAAAACCGTATCCGCATCCGTCGGATATCGGTCGGATATCGGATATATCCGTATCCGTTTCCAATTTTTAAAACTAAATTAAACAATACTTGAATTTTCAATTAAACTAAATTAAAATATTATTAAATCAACTATAATTTTTATGGGATATTAATTTTCTTATTTTTTATAGTTTATGATATTCTACGATAANAACGGATGCGGATATTTTCCATATAAACGGATACGGATGCGGACGGTAATCGAATTTTCGGTTATCCGTTTACAGCCCTAAATTTAATCTACAAATTTGGTATACCCTTTGATTTTTCCTTTTCCATTAGAAGTGATTGCATAGAGTCACAAACATTTGCTTTGTTAATTACGCTGCCGGATGAAAGGTTAGGGTTTAGACTCCGTAGTCCGTACTTTGTATTGCGCTAACCTGCTCTGCCCTTCTCATTTTTTTCTTCTTTCTTCGAAGGTCCAGCGACGCAAGGCGGGGTCTTCCTCTCCCATCCGCCGATCGCGATCCAGGCGCTTCCCCGCAGCAGCTTTTCTTCTTCTTCCATCAGGTATTCCATGAAATAGCTCCAGCCCCTTCTTTTCCCCAACTCCCTCTTAGTTCTTCTTCCATCCGATTTTTTCTTTGTTCACTTTTTTTTCAATTTTTTGAGATTTGCTGTTTTTGTTTTTCGTTTATTTTGCGGTTTTCCCCCCTTTTTTCAGTTCTTTGGCGTTTTTTTAATGTTTTTTTTCTGTTTTCTTTGCCGAATATTTGATTTTGCTGTTTTTTTGCTTTCTTTTCGTTTTTATTGCCGTTTCTTTTACTGTTTTTTACTCACTATTTTCATTATTGTGAGACTTGTGTAAGTTATGTCGTCTTATTTTGGTGAACATATTTTACATTTGAACTTAATTTGGTGAACATATGTTACTTACTACTTCCTTCCTAAAATATTTATTCAATTTTGAAATTTTACATTCGAAATTTAAAAAAATTTCTAATAATTTAAATAAAAAGAATGTTTGAAATTAATGTAAAAATAATTATATTAAATTTGTCTCGTAAATAATTATCAAAATATTATTTTACATAATTAGAATATTATATAATTTTATTTCAAATGTAACTTGAGAAATACGAGGAACTAATTAAGAAAAATAAGTATAAGGATATTTAAGTAATTTCTTTGTTTTTCCTACCTCACATTACCTAATAAATATCCAAACATAGTTTTCCAAATTATTACCTTTACCTACTTTCACTTACCTACCTTCAATTAGCTATCATTACCTACCTAATAAAATTCTACCTACCTCAATCCAAACATACCCTTATCTCGTTGTCAGAACTCGAGTAATAGCAAAGATTTTCATCCATTTATTTCAATTTTTATTAATCCGAAGAAGACAGATCCTGATCGTGTGCTTTATTTCTAGCCAATCTACTGCTTTGAGGAAAACGAGTAATAGCAAAGAATTCAGCAGCCACTTGCACACAGAGGTATTATATTCCCTTTGTACCAAATATATGTTATAAACTGGGTTCAATTATAAATTAACAGGCTGTTTGTTTTATGCACTTCACAGGTTATGTTGAACTAAGGAGTGTGAGGTAATACATTCCAATATCTTAATAGAGTTATATAACATGGACATTCTTTTAAGGAGAATCTATTACCTAAGTCTAAATTTAATAAAGACTAAGATTTTTTTTTTCAAAGCCAAATTTTTAAATCAAAGGTCCTATATGTATACTGGTTAGGATAAATCTTCTTGCCCAAAAGCAAAATATTGAGTATCTATAAGGTGCAATCATTTCAATGAAGTTTTTTTTAATTTCATGTTTTTATAATAGCACTGTATTTTTACCATTCAAATGTGAAATGTTCAATCAAAGTTCTAATTTGACTTGGTACTCCCCGCAAAGTAGTCAACCAAAGTTTTTCAAAAACCAATCACATATTTCATCATTTCAAATTCTATAAAAATGAAGAGAAGTTTAATGAAAATTCATGTAATAGTATTTCAAATATTTCTTTGGTGAATGATTGAACTACCAGTGTCAAGAAGTCTCTTGATTTTGAATGAGGCATCCACCCTCTTTTAGCTTCTTCATCTTGCTTTATTTTCAATTCCAAGTGCCTGTAAAGAAAATGCTCGTACAACAAAAACACTGAAATTTAAAAAATACGTTTCCATTCATCTTTTATTTGGAAGATTTTATGAATTTGTGTAGTGGAGAACACTTACAT